TAAAACTACAGGGACCCCATCACACAGTTTATAAACTACAAGGACCACCATCGCACAGTTTATAAAACTACAAGAACCAGCATCACCTAGTTTATAAAACTACAAGGACCCCCATCACACAGTTTATAAACTACAAGGACCACCATCGCACAGTTTATAAAACTACAAGAACCACCATCACCTAGTTTATAAAACTACAAGGACCCCATCACACAGTTTATAAACTACAAGGGTCCCCATCACACAGTTTATAAAACTACAGGGACCCCATCACACAGATTATAAACTACAATCACCACCATCGCACAGTTTATAAAACTACAGGGACCCCCATCACACAGTTTATAAAACTACAAGAACCACCATCACCTAGTTTGTAAAACTAAAAGGACCCCATCACACAGTTTATAAACTACAATCACAACCATCGCACAGTTTTATAAAACTACAGGGACCCCCATCACACAGTTTATAAAACTACAAGAACCACCATCACCTAGTTTGTAAAACTAAAAGGACTCCCATCACACAGTTTATAAACTACAAGGACCACCATCGCACAGTTTATAAAACTACAAGGACCACCATCACACAGTTTATTAAACTACAGAGACCCCATCACACAGTTTATAAACTACAAGAACCACCATCACCTAGTTTATAAAACTACAAGGACCACCATCACACAGTTTATAAACTACAAGTGCCCCATCACACAGTTTATAAACTACAAGGACCACCATTGCACAGTTTATAAAACTACAAGAACCACCATCACCTAGTTTATAAAACTACAAGGACCCCATCACACAGTTTATAAACTACAAGGGCCCCATCACACAGTTTATAAAACTACAGGGACCCCATCACACAGTTTATAAACTACAAGGACCACCATCGCACAGTTTATAAAACTACAAGGACCACCATCACACAGTTTATTAAACTACAGAGACCCCATCACACAGTTTATAAACTACAAGAACCACCATCACCTAGTTTATAAAACTACAAGGACCACCATCACACAGTTTATAAACTACAAGTGCCCCATCACACAGTTTATAAACTACAAGGACCACCATTGCACAGTTTATAAAACTACAAGAACCACCATCACCTAGTTTATAAAACTACAAGGACCCCATCACACAGTTTATAAACTACAAGGGCCCCCATCACACAGTTTATAAAACTACAGGGACCCCATCACACAGTTTATAAACTACAAGGACCACCATCGCACAGTTTATAAAACTACAGGGACCCCCATCACACAGTTTATAAACTACATGGCCCCCATCACACAGTTTATAATACTACAGGGACCCCATCACACAGTTTATAAACTACAAGGGCCCCAATCACACAGTTTATAAAACTACAGGGACCCCATCACACAGTTTATAAACTACAAGGGCCCCCATCACACAGTTTATAAAACTACAAGGACCCCATCACACAGTTTATAAACTACAAGGGCCCCCATCACACAGTTTATAAAACTACAGGGACCCCATCACACAGTTTATAAACTACAAGGACCACCATCACACAGTTTATAAAACTACAGAGACCCCATCACACAGTTTATAAACTACAAGAACCACCATCACCTAGTTTATAAAACTACAAGGACCACCATCACACAGTTTATAAACTACAAGGGCCCCCATGACACAGTTTATAAACTACAAGGACCACCATTGCACAGTTTATAAAACTACAAGAACCACCATCACCTAGTTTATAAAACTACAAGGACCCCCATCACACAGTTTATAAACTACAAGGGCCCCCCATCACACAGTTTATAAAACTACAGGGACCCCATCACACAGTTTATAAACTACAAGGACCACCATCACACAGTTTATAAAACTACAGAGACCCCATCACACAGTTTATAAACTACAAGAACCACCATCACCTAGTTTATAAAACTACAAGGACCACCATCACACAGTTTATAAACTACAAGGGCCCCCATCACACAGTTTATAAACTACAAGGACCACCATTGCACAGTTTATAAAACTACAAGAACCACCATCACCTAGTTTATAAAACTACAAGGACCCCCATCACACAGTTTATAAACTACAAGGGCCCCATCACACAGTTTATAAAACTACAGGGACCCCATCACTCAGTTTATAAACTACAAGGACCACTATCGCACAGTTTATAAAACTACAGGGACCCCCATCACACAGTTTATAAACTACAAGGGTCCCCATCACACAGTTTATAAAATTATAGGGACCCCATCACACAGTTTATAAAACTACAAGAACCACCATCACCTAGTTTGTAAAACTACAAGGTACCCCATCACCTAGTTTATAAAACTACAAGGACCCCCATCAGACAGTTGGTCCAGAGGAGAAAGGAGAGGAACAGGAGTACCTGGAGCTGGTTTAGTTAGTGAAACACCTCAATACTAAAATACAAACTGTTGTAGGAATCGAAGTTTGTTTAAGTTTCATCTGTAGTTTATAACACATGGTCTCCTCATCAGTTATTCCAGAGGGATTAGAGGAGGATTAGGAGTCCATGGAGCTGGCTTTGTTTTTGCCTCATTTAGAAACAGTTGTTAAATGTTTTCATGTAGAATAAGTTTGTACAACACTACGATGATAAAAGACATTATCATCATATTTATCAAATATGGTGATACATTGGGAAAATAATATATTTTTAATTAAAAAGCTATTTAAATAATTATTAAACACTCAAAGTATCGAAAATTGGTACCGTGAAGTTCCAGTATTGATTCGTAGGTACCGGGAATTGGTACCACATCAATTCAAATGTCAAAGGTACCCATGCCTACTTATCAGTGAAGTTAAAAGCCTGCAGGATGGGTGGTACAGCTGGTGGTGTTGTCATAAAACATACGATGTATGCAGACGACTTAGTGGTTCTAAGTCCAAGCACCGCTGGTCTACAGCAGTTATCTGCGATCAAATGAATTTTCCAGAATTTTATCTTTCAGACTCTGTGATTAGTGTCAACAACAAAGTCAACTATCTAGGTCATATTATCACAGAGGACATGAGAGATGATGACATGTATAGGCAGTGTCGTATGTTATATGCTTAGGTACATACACTCACTTGTAAGTTTGGGTCTTGTTCTGATAAGGTAACGTTGTTGTACACGGCCCATGGACTAACTATAAGAAATGTAGTATGCTAGGCTGCAGGTTGCCTATAATGATTGTAGTGTACCAAAGGTCAACAATGTGGTTATTTGTCCACTGTAAGGTCAGAGGTCATCTCACTGAAGTGTCCAGGCTGTTCCCCCTTCACTGGTCTCCACACCAGTGAACACACCGCTCTATGACCTTGTTTCCTAGAAGGGAAGCCATGATAAACCCTGCTCCTGAATTCCTTCATCTTTGCTGGAAGCCAAGATTTCATACAGAAGACGAGACCTTCACTCTCAGAATAAAAGTTCATCTTCCTTGAAACATAAATGACTTTACCACTTTATAGGTTGATGTAATCAAATGTGTTGAATGAACAAGATGTTTAAACCCAAAGTGTTTTAATAATGTGAGCATTAATCAATGATGGGTTAAATGAATATTTTTCATGTAATTCGTTTCAGGTCTTTAATGATACCAGATTAATATTTGTTGATTTAATAATATATTATTATATTAATTATATTATTCACACATAATAATAATTGTTGAATTAATGTTTTAACATTCACTTCACATAAATGTGTAATAACATTTTCACTTCACATTAGAAATAACCTCTGAGTATCTCTGTGAAGGTGTGATTCTCAGAGGTCTTTGGTAATGCCATATATATATATATGCCATATATATATATATATATATATATATATATATATATATGGCATATATATATATATGGCATATATATATATGCCATATATATATATATATATATATATATATATATATATATATATATATATATATATATATGCCATATATATATATATATATATATATATATATATATATATATGGCATATATATATATGCCATATATATATATATATATATGGCATATATATATATATATATATATATATATATATATATATATATATATATATATATATATATATATATATGCCATATATATATATATATATATATATATATATATATATATATATATATATATATATATATACACACACACACACAGACATAGGGAGGGGGTAGACCTATCCAAGCTGGCTACCGCTCAGCTCCCATAGACAGCAGCGTCACACAGGTCTATAAAAGGAAATAGCCAATCGTAGTAGAGCCCTTCTAGACAATCAGGTCAGATTCAGATTTCAGATTTCAGATTTATTGGCCAAGTAAAATTACATTTCAGTGGTGAGAACATAGACTGTATATACCCCCAGGGTGAGAAAGGCGGAATCTTCCTTGGACATCCTACGATTCCAAACGACGGTACCCGCGGTAGGTACTTCCACCGACATACGGGTACTTCTCGAAGTATTTTTTGGGCGATGACGGTGAATCATACGGAGTGATATTGGACAGCAGTAGCGGTTAGTAATTTAGATGTTCATTTAAAAAGAGCATTTACAAGAAGAGTCTCGTGTGATATGATAGAGGTTTGAAACTGGTAACATGTTCTAAATCACTGATAAGACTTTTTTAACCAAGAGTTGTTTTTAGTAGGAAAATTAGCCACTGACTTGCTAGCAATCTGGCTAGCTGCATTTGTCCATGGCCGATTTGAGGACTGTTTTAGTGACGTCACTTGCAGGTAGGGGATACATAACTGATTGAACATCATTAAAATTTACCAAAATATTCCATTAAGAACATATAAAAAGTAAGAGTATTACTTTGTTACTGTTGTTTTTGTGTAACTGAGAGTAAATGGCGCCCTCTTGTGGCTGTGGCCTGTTTCTACCATCCTGCCATCGGCTCTTTCTGCTCGCCGCACTGATGCTGATATTTCTGTCCAGCATCAGCAGCGGAGAGGAGGAGGAGGAGGAAGAGGAGGTTGTGGCAGGTGGAAACGGGGACCTCTGTGGATATCATCATCGCCCTCCACCGGCTCAGCACCGACTGCACCTCCTGGCCGGTTACCGCTTCACTGCGGACACGCAGCGTCCCTCTGTCCACCCAGACGCTGCAGGTATCGCTGTCTTCGTGGTGCTTTTGTTTTTACTCGGGTGAACCGTTTCCTCGTGTAGCAGGGAAACATCGAGGAAAGACGCTGGCGGGATAAAGCGGTGTCGTCACCCATCCAGCGGCTGGATAAAGCCAGTCTGAAATAAACGGACCGAAACCAAAAGGTGAGTCCGTTCTGGGCACGGGGAGGTGGGTCTTTTTGCTTTTCGGGCTGTGTGTGTGAGTCAGGAGTCGAGGTGCATGTTGTCCTCCTTCCCGTTCCGTTCTGCAGGAAACCGGCCTGCATTTGGGTGCAGGTTACCGCAGTGATCCGGTGAGAGCACGCGCTATTTCATGTTTCCGCCACACGTGTTAAAGGATGTACATCTGGAAAAATCCACACGGAGGCAGATCGTTTTTATGGTGTTGCTTTTAAAAACGGACAGGAGCAAATCAGCGGCCTAGCAGGGACTCAGGCATGTTGCTGCAGCTCTTTGGGTTTCTGTGTCCCACTGCAAACAGCAGCACAAGTTCTGATGGGTGTGTGTGTGTGTGTGTGTGTGTGTGTGTGTGTGTGTGTGTGTGTGTGTGTGTGCCGAACATTCATGTGTTTTCTGTCATGCAGGTAGCAAAGTAATCATGACATTTTTACCAGGCCTGCTTGTCTCATTAGCCTGATCACCTTTGCCTGACAGATCAACATCTGTTATTCTTGAAGCATGCACTGAAATGAAGTAAAGCATGATTAAAATATTTTAAATGTATAAACTTCAATAATTGTTTCCTTTAAATTATTATCCTCTCAGTGTTTACTATCAGACATCAAAGGTGCCAAATGATTAATGAACAGCTTTTATTTCCTTTCTGTAGAAGCTAAAGGATTCTAAATGATTCCAAAAGAAAACAAAAATTACATTTTCTTTCAACATTTAAAATCCTTTAAAGGTGTGGAACACTGAAACCCCACATTTTTAATGATTATCTCTGATTCTAACGGGTCACTGAGCGTTTCATGCAGGCTGAACATGAGAATAGTCTCCCACACCTATCTCCTGCATTAGCTTCTGATAGAAAACAGAAGGTGAAATGCGAGGATTAGAAAATCCTGACAGATCTACGTCACCCTGTCACTAACATTCATGGACTCACCCATCTGGACTCACGACGGGGAAGGCTGTTGTTGGTTTAGCGTCCAGGAAACAGCAGAGAACGTCACAGCTAGTAGAAGCTAACTGTTAGCATTAGCTACTCCACCACATAGCAGAACTCCTCCACTCTTGTGTTATTTGTGGAGATAAAACATCAACGTTGCAGAGCAAACAGAGTCAGTGGTAGAGTCGTGTTGCTGTTAGCCAATCGGAGGAGAGACTTCCAAACATCAGGAAATAAGACTACAAATTCCGTTGTTGGAAGCTACTTTCTCCTCTGGCTCACTTGGGCTTCGGATCCATCTGCAGGGTTCCACCCAGAGCAGAACAGGTTATTGTGGACCGGAGTGTACAGGTCTGCAGTGTCAGGAGAGCGTTGCTATCACAGTTTGGGCTCTCATGTTGGCAGGTGAGGTTATATGAACCATAATGTGTAATTTTATAAAAGACTGTGCAACTATTCAGTATATTTGTGCTACAATAAATGGTCTGCAGAGCTACAGACAAAAACGAAAGTGTCTCCAGAGTGTGGTTGCTGAGTCCTGAGGCCTGCGTCGGCTATAATTAGCGTCCAGCGCATCATGATAGCACCTCCATGTAAAGGCCCCATGTGTGAAATCCATTCAGATCATAATAAAAAGTGCGACTCTTTAGCGCCGTGCAGTTCAGAGAGAATCTCTTTAGCCGGAAGCTTGGTTTATGCTTGACGCATTCACTTTCCGCGCGGTGATGCGGCTCGCGGCTGGAACGCGCTTCACAACTCGCAGCGTTTATGGTTCATGCGGCTCGTCTCTGCGGTGAGCCAATATTCTCCCGAACTGTAGGGGGCAGCATGGAGCTCTATGGCATGCATCCAACACTACACCATAATAGAAGTAGAAATTACTGTTTACAACATGGTATTCCAGCATTTTTTAACAGCTTCCTCGTCTTTTCCGACAGTGCGAGCTATTTCTCTCCAAGAATTATTAACAACATGTTGATCACGGTGATCTCTGAGAGCTGAATCATACAAATGTCTGTATTTACCAACCTCTGCCATACTAGTTCTTGCCAGTCCGCCATGTTTTTCCGCGTCCGACCGTCCGTGTGGTTAGAAATTTTCCTAGGTGCGCGGTGCGGAAAGTTTGGGCCGTGCGGAGGCGCGGTGGAGGGGCGTAGTTGTTAAAATGACGCAATTTTGCCACACGGACCTCGCAGACGTGTCAAGCATAAACCAACCTTAACCCACACAAAGCTTGTAACTACTCGACCAGTTAAAAAGCATTTTTAATTATGACTGTTTTATCAACTTACCAGTCCTGAAGGAAGCAAGCTAGTTCTGTTAGATCTTGAAGCGGTCACGATTCACACACGGAGGAGGGGTGGTGTCAGCACAAGGTCCAATGTATGATGGCAGGAGTGGGTGGAGCTATGTATTCTTTGGGTAAAACCAATTGAGTCTAAGATATTACTAAAGGCTACATTGAGGCTATCATTTTCAATGTCCACATGAATATTAAAATCCCCCACTACAATGACCTTATCAGTATTTAGCACCAAATCTGATAAAAAATCAGAGATCTGATCCAAAAACTCAGAGTAAGGACCTGGTGGACGATATAAAACTACAACTGTTTTGCCTTCTTGTGAAGATTGTTGCAAAGAGAAACATTCAACTAGACTAACACCAAAGTCCTGCACACTGCGCTGTTATTTCCATCACTGTAAACGAAGAGAAAAAACTAATTAGACGAATCCTTTTCAACCAGTTTTAAAAGGAGACATGTGACACATCAAAAAGCGGCACCTTCTCAACTAGTTTTAAAACCACTAACAGGGTGTAAAATATCTAAATACTGTAGGCACCGACGGGCTACAACTTCTGGATATTAGCCCCACGCTAGCTAAGTAGCTACAGCTATCTATACAGGCTTTTCAACAGAACGGAGCCAGGCCTCCAACTCCGACCCCCTCGCCTCCAAAGCTACAAAAATGCTACATTTATTACACGTGCCATTATCATTAAAGGACACAGGAGTAACTAAACATCTGACACAGGGTGCAAGAGATAGGAGACGGAGAAGCAGAGACAGAAGTAGCCATGGAGAGACTATAGTTCAGCTGGGAGTGAGATGGTGAGATGGTGTTTCGCTCTAAGCTTTGGTTTGGAGATTATAACACACATTGAGACGCCATCTGTTGGTCTACGTACCCAGCGGAAGTCCCCGTTTAGATCCGGAATGTCGGGGGTCCAGCTTGGACCTGGTCTAGAACCAAAGCCTGTAGCAAAGCCGCAGTTGCTGACCAGTCCCGTCTTGAGTTACTCCCAGGTCACGACAGTGTTATTGGCATCAGCGAGACCCTGAAGGGGTCGTGATGGTTCAGCTTTTATTCTGAAGGAACCGTTGCAGCAGATTTAACCCAGCTTGTTGTTCGGTTCTTTCGGCTTTAAGAGGAAAGTTACGGATTGGCCACTGCGATAACTTCTCTAGAACGCTTTGAACTGAAGTTAAGATGACGTGGGGCATAGTTTTATAATTTGGATGTTTTGATTTACTGTCAAATCAGAATTTGACAACAGACGGGGATTATACAAGCACCAACAAAACCACGCCTCGCGTCAGATCTGGAAGGTTCTGATTGGATCAGAAAAAGGAAATGTGTCATGTGACTTAGCATTACGTGTGATCAGTCTAGTGTCTAGTATTTAAAGTTACATTACTTATTATATACAATCATAGGATTATAATATCAAGTAATTAATATTCTCATTTCACAGATTGATTGAACATTGAGCTGCACATGATTATTTGGACTAACAGACGTTATTTAATTATTATTTAATCGAGTTCTTGGTCTTCTTTCTTGTGCTGTCCGAGGAAGCAACAGTTTAGATAAGAGCACAGAGCACGAGTGGCCTTGGCCCATGTCGTGTAGGCTAGGCTTGTGTCAGAAACGTATGGTTCTGCTTGGGCAGAGCAAATAGAGCAGGGCCTTTAGGTCAGAAATGGACAATTCATCACGCTACACTATTATCACCATCATCACTATCATCAGCATCATCGTAGAGTCACAGATCCATAAGCCTGGGAATAAAGATAAGTCTTTAGCTTAGATTCGATAGCAATGAGAGACAGGGCTTCTCTTACGACAGATGTCAGATAATGATAAATGACCCGCGCTTGTATAGCGCCTCTCAGAGTCAGGACTCCAAAGCGCTTTACACTACAGTGTATCATTCATCCATTCACACACACATTCACACTGGTGATGATGAGCTACGATGTAGCCACAGCTGCCCTGGGGCGAACTGACAGAGGCGAGGCTGCCGAGCACAGGCGCCGCCGGTCCCTCCGACCACCACCAGCAGGCGAGGTGGGTTTAGTGTCTTGCCCAAGGACACAACAGCAGAATTCTCTGTTGAGTTGCTGCTGCCCATCCCCCCACTCCCGAGCTAAAGCTGTGTTCCATTTGTCCTCTGAACTTGGAATTTCCAACCAGGAAATGGCGTAATGGGCTCGTTTTGCATTCCAGCTTCCAACTGGGAAAAATGGATGCCACCAGTGTGAGTACTAAAGAACCAAAAGAACTTACCAAGTATTCCCCGCACCTAAGTAATAGTGACACACACGCCCATCGACCGTTGCCACATACAACCAGAAACAGTTGCGTGATTTCCGGCTGACTTGTCTCAGAAAACGAGTTCCGAGGACAACCGGAATGCACCCTAAGGTGGAACCTGAGGAAAACTAACAGAGTCTGACTGACCGATCGCAGAGGTCTCACGGGAACATGACGACACAGAAGCTCCTGCAGATCGGGTTAGGGTTAGTTCGTCCCTCTCTTGGTGTTTGGATCCTGACAGGCTCCGGATCAGAACCAGTGTTCTCTGCGTCGCCTGCTGCTTGTGCTTACAGACGTTGTTTCTTTCTGCTGAAGTGAAGTGAGTGAAAGTGACTCAGTGCAGAGTAAAATGCGTCGTTAGTGACGGCTAAGTGAAAGAGCTCGTGCTGTTGGTGAAGGAGGCGTAGATCTTTCTAGAACAATCTAGATAGCAGACCTTCTCTGTGTCAAAGATCATTCTTGAAAAAGTTGTTCAGGTTATTATTTTTTATTCATGCAGCACAACTTGTTCTCTCTCTCTCTCTCATTATCTAAACCGCCCATCCCACAAGGGTCACAGGGAGCTGGTGTACGCAGGTGAGGGGCTGGGCACGCCCTGGACAGGTCTCCAGTCCATCACAGGGAACCGCAGAGACCAAGAACCAGTCACACACTCACTCACACCTACAGGGACAACTAGAGTCCAGTCAACCTGATGTGCACATTTGTGATCTCCTGGAGGAAGCTGCAGAATTCCCACACATGCATGTGGAGAATATGCTTCCTCCATGCAGAAAGGCCATTGCTGGGATTCAAACCTGCAACCTTCTTCTGGCGGGGCAACAGTACTACCAGCTGAACCACCATGCAGCCTGTTTAAACGTGATATTCTACCTAGTTCAAGAGTAATAATGAGAATTATTTTGTAAAGCACTAAGTACATCTGACCCTTTAAATCTAACACGTCCAAAATGACTGTGTGTGTGTGTGTGTGTGTGTGTGTGTGTGTTTCCCCACTAGAACCTCCAAGCTGGGGGTCATCACCCTTTCACCCTTGACCCGTTTTCATGTCTGTAGAAAGCAGGAGGACGATGTTTCTTGGTGTTTGGGGTGTTTAAGGAAGCAGTAGAAACACACATGGCAGCACTGACCGGTGCAAAAGGGCAGATGTGCATCGTCTGACAGATAAACAACACGTGAGATTCTAGATTTGAAGGTAAACGGGGATCACGCTAAACATCACTACCTCAATAACATGTTTGGGAGAAAAACATTGAACTGTCTGCTTCTTATGGTAAAACCAGAAGCTGATGTCATTCATGCTGACTCATGTTTACATAGGTTCATTAACCTGATTCTGTTTTTATGAATTCTCGTGTTGCCAACCGAACACCAACGTCTGGCTGCTTAGCATCCCCACCGCAGCATTCTGTAGCTCACCTCAAGGGAACCTGGTCTTCGGTGTCCACCAGGCTCGTCGCTCTCTGGTGGTCCGTCGCTGAAATCCCAGCAGCTAGCAGCCGCTAATATGAGTCCAGCAGGAGGGGCAGAGAGGTGGGGGTTGATGTTTACACCTTCGGTGTAACAGGGATTAATTCAGATTATTCATGGAGACCGTCTCAGTACTGAGGCTCCAGTTTAACCCTTTAAAATCCACAACAATAAAATAGGTTCGTTTTTGTTCTTTGGGGCTAAAATGTGATGCAGCAGCAACTTTCAGCTCCATTTCTGCCGTTTTGGTGTTTGCTAATGTTGATTAGCTGTGGCAGCCATCTTTAACTGCTTCCACACGTTAAGAGGTTGTAAGAAAACATCCAACAATCAGGCTGTGAGAGTTTCAGTGAAAGTTGCCAGCAGACACAGTTTTAGATGACTGAAGCAAAACGATTCAAGCTGAAATTAGTTCAGTTTAATAAGTTTTGTCTGAATAATCTGAGATTAGTGGCTACTAATGACAGCCATGAGATGAAGTTTTAAACACAGACGTGTTGAGCTGCAGCACATTTACAAATACAAATCCTTTCTTTTAGAGAATAACAACAACGTTTTTGGGTCTCCAGGAAAAATACAAAATCTCACCTAAACTTGAGAGGAGAGCAGCTGAAAGCAGAAAGTGCAGTCACTCAAAACTACTCAAGCCCTCTCCTCCAGGGACTAACAAAGATGGCCACTCTGAGGAGAGAGCTCTTTGGTTTTAGACACTGCTGCTCTATAAACCGTAGAGAGGTCGGCTCCACCTGGAGGAAAGATAAAGGCTGTGTGTGTGTGTGTGTGTGCGTGTGTGTGTGTGTGTGTGTGTGTGTGTGTGCGTGCGTGTGTGTGTGTGTGTGTGTGTTGGGGGTGGGGTTCTTTGGTCACTAATGCGATCAGAGATTTTGAACTCCCTGCTTAGCTGCCGGTGGCACCCGGGTAGCTGTGGCTACGATGTAGCTCATCATCAGGGATGAATGACTGGTTGTGTTGGAAAGTGCCTTAAAAGTCCATTTACCAAAATATTTAATCTGACAAATACAGAAAACGGCTCAGTTAAATTTAAGCAAATACGTTTTTGACACACGAGAAAATATTTATCTCACTTTTTTAAGTTCTCAGCTGTTGTTTTTTCTTCCTTCATCTTGTAAAATAAATGATCCAAATAAAGATCAACATTACTGGTAAACAAACTGTTAACGGTTGGAATGAACTCTTCCCAAAATGCTCGATACTTTTCCATCACATGGTCACCGTTCATACGTATTTTAGATCGATTCGATCCGAAGCCTCAGCAGGTCAAGTCCTCAGTCTCAGGTATTGATTTTTCTAGTCTCCCCTCTTCAGTCCACACGTAAAGCAGCTTGGTTAGGTTGTGGGTTTGATTCCCACTGGGGTTGGTCCACCCCCACTCTGTTGTAAAGGAAACCACTAAATGGTATTTTTATGTGACCCCAGCTGCTCTTCTCAGAGGAGCCATTGTTTGTGTTTTCTGTCTATCTCACTGATCTCTGACCTTTGTCTGATGTGAATATTTCAAATAAACTGTAATCTTCAGTGCGTGTGTACAATATTATTCTGGTTTTTTAATGTGTGAGTAAATAATAGAGTCATTGTAAGCGTTGAAAAGTCTGATCTATTATAAATAATGTTACCTCTTATGATGCAATAAAAACAGAAAACAGAGCAAAATAGAACCCCGGGTTTCATTTTAGTTTTTATTTCAGCTGCGTTAGCAATAGGAAAACATTATTCAAGTGCTTTTATTTTGAAGAGTCGAGGTAAAGGGTAAGGCTCACAGTTTTTGATCACAACAACCCAAGTGGTCCTCTCCCAACCCCATCGCTGCTGAAGAATCCAGTAAGTTGTGGTTTGCCTGAGACCAGAATACTCTTGGGTGCAGCCGATGCTGATGAAACTCAGACAGCTGAGGTGAACTCTGACCTTTTTACCTGCTGTGTTATTTTTATTATTCCGTCCATCACTGATATAAATGGATGGAAGAGTTTATCTCATCATCATTTGAATCTACATCAGAGAGGTTTTATTTTTAGCTTCTCTTTGTGAAATGCCCTGAATTGAGTGCAGCTGCTGCAAATTTTAACTCATTCACTGCCGGCCGTTTCCTGATCGCTAAAGCCCTTCGCTGCCAGCGTTTCTCACTGTTTTTACTGTTTTTTTTAAGAGTCACAGAGCGTTGCGCGCTAGGACGATGTCGACGCCAAAACAACCACAACAAAGCGGAGACTCAGCTCTTACATCAGGAAGAATCCGCGCGTTTCGAGCGTTATCCGTTCTTTCATAATCCGTTGTTGAATTGTGATCGGCAGACGCTTTTCCGGTTCGCGCCTCACTTTCTTCACAGCAGCGGCCCAAAACGATCTCCTAACACATGGATGTTCTGCTTCCTGATCACATGATGTGTGACGTACGCAGATGAAGATCAGCTTTAGAGCTTGGATGTTTGTTCTCATGGTGCGGGGGCTTGTTCCAACACCCACACAGTAAAAACATGCCAATGACGACTTGAACAGTTGGATATAAAATGACGACTTTAGTCGTAAATGGCAGTGAATGAGTTAATGGACAAGAAGCTACTGGAAGGAATCATTTACTGGTTGTTAGTCAGAGGTTTTGTACATTTTAAACATTCCTAAATAAACTGATAATCATTTATCGCTCTTTTAACTCTAATGTGTGTTTGATGATGTCTGGAGTGACTTTATCAGATGCAAGGATGGAGACTTGACACCTCTCGTTATCTCTTTTCTTTTCATTCTTGTTCTTTTGATTATATTTATATTTGATATGAAACCCTAATCCAAAATGATGAGCAGGTGTTCAACAAATAAATACAAAACATTAATAATATTCAGAAAAAACGACCAAAGCACTCTTTATTGTCATGCACCCCGAACTGCTATTTAAAACAAAAACAGACAATGTAACAAATTTGGGGGCTTGTCCGGGAATTGATTTTGAGCAGCTGTGACTATGTTTGTTACCAGGGGATTTAACAATGGGACCTTTGCTATTTCTGATTCATATTCTTCCCCTGGGTGACATCCTGCATATGTTTGGCACTAGTTTTCACCTCTATGCTGATGATAGCCAGCTATATTTGCCCCTAGAGAAGTCAGGTGAATGCCCCACTACCAACCTGTTCTAGTGTTTAACGGAGGTCAAAACGTGGATGTCTGAAAGTTTTTGTGTCTCAAAGACAGTATTATTCCGGCCTAATGGTCGTTTTGATGCCCGTACGGTTGACTGGTGTATTGAGCTCTCGGTTAAGTGCATTAGCATTTAATCTTGGAGTGAAGATGTTTTTCCGAGGTGAAACCATTCCTGTGAAGACGAGATCTCGACTTTTATGATTTGGTGTTTTTATCAGTTTTATTATGTCTGTGAAGCGCCTTGGTGTCATATCTCCTGTCTGTAAGGTGCTGTGCAAATAAAGACTGAGTTGGGGTGACTCCCTGAGATTTTTTCAGGTAATGATGTTTTGTATATTGCAGGTCTCCGGACGCGATGGCTAATGCCTCCCCTGACCTGGACAATGCAGAAGCCCAGCGCCAGCTCAACAACAACAACCGGCCAAACAGCTCCGGGTTCTGGGAGACGGAGTGTACTAGCTCCAAGCTGTTTGAGTGTTCTCGCATCAAGGCCCTGGCAGGTCAGAGGTCAAACACAGCATATTCACAGCACCAGACACAACAAAAACATCCCAAACCATAAGATTACAGCCGTGGAACAAAGACACAGAACCCTCTTTAACTTCTACGGTGTTGTATACAACACGGTACAAAGACTCGGGTCTCTATTTGGTTCTAAAAGGACTCAAATCTAACCTAAAGTTAACTTAAAGCTGCAATAGCGAATCTGCAAAACAAGCTCGCTTTTAAACACAAACATGGTTACAAAACCCACCGCTCCCGTCGGCCATCGTCCCTGGGCAACGTTAGGGTTAGGGTTAGAAACCGGAAACCCACACTGCCAGAGGAAACCAGATGGCACTAAACACCAGGCGCCGTTTTTAGGTCCAAACATCTCATGTTGTCCGTGACTTCAGATGGTGTTTAATGTAATCTCCACCATGTATTTATATATATGTTAGAATGTTGTTAAGAGGCATAATAATGTTTGAAGCTGGCTTGTTTTTCAGATTTGCTTTTGCAGCTTTGAAGATGACTGGTTCCTTCTTATTTACCCTGTTTGTTTGCTCCTTCATTCTTCTCCCACACAGATGAGAGAGATGCAGTGCAGAAGAAAACATTCACTAAGTGGGTCAACTCTCACCTGGCCAGAGTGTCCTGTCGCATATCGGACCTCTACAACGACCTGAGGGACGGGTACATGCTCACCAGACTGCTGGAGGTCCTCAGCGGAGAGCTGCTGGTACGACACGTAAACACACACTCACCTCAAAGCTCCCCGTCTCGAATGTGATTGGTCTAAATCCTTCTGTTTTCTGTGACGGACGTGTGGGTGAAGTGGTTAATGGTAAACCCATATCAGTGGCTGCCTGTGCCTGGAAAACATCTGACCTTTGACCTTAAAGAGGAAATCCGGTTGTAAAAACTGGGTTCTGTGTTTAGTCGGGTCATCTGCCTGATCCGAGTGTTCAGGTGGAAAAAGCGAGGACAGAACTGTGTGAGGGGACAAATAGCCTTTCACTGAATCAGGATCGTTGTTTGTTGTGCTCTCTGGATCCCCATCAGCTCCCACAGCGGGGGGGCTAATCTTCCTGGGGTCCATTTTCAACATAGAGAACAAAGTTTACAAATGATTGAAACCGTATAAATGACGACATTAGGCTTTTAAAAGCTGTAGTGGCCAACCAGTACCATCCACGGGATCCCGCTTGAAAACACCTTTCTTCTCGTTCCATCACAACTGCTGGAGCAGGACAATAACAGAAAAGCCTAACAGAGTCACGACTCCCATCCTTCACCCTCCTCTGCCTCCTCATTTACTCTTCATTCAGCTCACCTGTCCCCTCACCAAGCTCCAGCCAAGCCCTGTTTTCCCTAGAACCCCGGGTCAGTCAGCATCACAACCAACTTCATCCACTTCACCTGCTCCTGACTCCTCAGCTCATCGCTCACACCTGATCCCCTGCTACAAAAGGACCAGCCGGCCAGATTATTGAACGTTATTGCTAGCCCATCTTCCATCTTCCAGCCGTTTTCTGCCTCCGGACCTTGTTTGTCTCCTGACCCCTGCCTTGCACGCTGCCTGCCATTTCGACCTTCGCCTGTCCCCGACGCTGTCTCCAGCCTCGCCCTCCTGGTAACTCTGCTGCAAATAAAGACTTATTTATATCTATTTTTACTGTGTCTGGCATCATTACGGGTCTTCTGAGTTCTGTTCGTGACAACCAGAGCTCTGATTTAGGGTTTCCCTAACACGACCTGGTGGTGTTTTCCACCCAACAGTCCCTCTACACACAACGCTTCTCTTCACAGACGGACTTCTAGGTCTCGGCACCATCACCATGTTACTGCTTAGCAAGCGTGTTACGTGCTCATGGCGATATCCACTGAGTAATATTTAGTCCTTCATATGATGATGAGTACTATTAGTCATAACTTTTGCATAAATATCAGAAGACTATATTTTATTTTCGCCTCCACAGTTAACCACGACAGCTTCAGGTGCATCTCGTGCACACGAGTTCCAGCTGGCTGCAGTTCTCTTAGATGTTTCTGGGCCGCGCCGGACCAAACTACTGTACTGTAAATGGGACTAAACAACACTTTGAACAACATTTTCAACATATGCAGAGCACCTTCCTGACATAAAGATTCCTCGCCCATCACACCGACTACATGGTCAGCGTGATCCGACCAGGATAATAAGTTGTTGATTCTAACAGCCAGCAGTTTGAATGTGGTGACCTGCTCCACCTTGGTGTTTGCAGATTTAGTGAAGTAGTCTGGTAACATGTTGCTGCTGCACTTAGTTTTGGAGATGTTTATTCTTCTTCACCCAATCCGCTACTGTGTTGACCTCCTGCTGCAAACGCTCATTCAGGTCAGGTCTTATCGTTGCAGCGGTGAGTGACGTCATCAGCGTATTACTGCGCTAGCGTTGTCAACAGCATATGGAAGATCATTTGTATACATAGAAAACAAGAGTGGACCCAAACACCTGCCTTGTGCAATGCCACATGATGACGTGATGCTCTCAGACAGGCTGCCATTGACCAAACCTGCCGAGACCTTTTAGAGAGATAACTGTTCATCCAGATCCATGCAGCTTGTGTAAAGCCACATGCTTTAAGTTTGGCGATGAGCAGGCCGTGGTCTGTTACATCAAATGTTAGGTTAGGGTTAGCAGTTCATTTGCACTAAAATAATCCATTATTTGATTAAAGTAGCTTTCTCCAAAATGCTGCTCAACACTGGCAGTAAACTGTTGGATCCAGGGAAGCCTGCCTTTCCGTCTTTGAGCAGAGGAATAGTTTTTAACCGTTTCCTGGGATCCGGAAAAGTACCGCTTCAAACAGACCTGTTAAAAATATGACATCCAGGTCTTGAGAGCTGAATTAATGCATTTCAAGTATTTCTCCACCAAGATTGTCTATGCCTGAGGCAAGACTCCGAGCCTTCTTCTCAACAACATCACGCGTTGCCATGAAGGTGGTGATGATGTGAGAGTAAAACATTTTATTCTCTTTCAAAGCCACGGCCTACGAGAGGTCGCATGCGGATCCACTGCCTGGAAAATGTGGACAAAGCCTTGCAGTTCCTTAAAGAGCAGAGGGTTCACCTGGAGAACGTTGGTTCCCACGACATTGTGGACGGAAACCATCGCCTTACGCTGGGTCTCATCTGGACCATCATCCTACGCTTTCAGGTAAGCTTCGCCACACTCTGATGTTTATGTCGGCCATAACCCTAACCCGACTAGAAGGTTACAAACTGTTGCTGAAGAGTTCTGCAGAACCTTCTTGTGTTCGGCCTGAATAAAAAGTCCCAGATTCGGACTGGAGCGAGATGCTTGGACGGTATCAGCAGCCACATCGTTTATGATGAGCTCCCCGCCAGCGCGGCATCGTCAGAGAGTCGCACGGCCATGTTGGTGCTCACACACCCACAGCGGTCGCCTTCGTGTTGTTCACTCGTTCACCAAGTCTTCTGGGTCGATACCGATATCCGATACTACTCACACACACGCACACACACACACACACACACACACACACACACGCACGCACACACACACACACACACGCACGCACGCACACACACACACGCACACACGGACTCACACACACACACGGACTCACACACACACACGGACTCACACACACACACGGACTCACACACACACGGACTCACACGCACACACACACACACACGCACACGCACACGCACACACACACACACGGACTCACACACACACACGGACTCACACACACACACGGACTCACACACACACGGACTCACACGCACACACACACACACACACACACACACGCACGCACACACACACACACACACACACACACATGCAGGTAGTTCAGGAAGTACAGTGTAAAATGTAAGAGAAACAAAGTGAAAGGGTGAAGGTGCAGCAGAAGAACAGCTGATGAAAACATGAAGGTTGCTGAGGGTTGGGGCCGGTCTGAGTTCAGAGGTCATGAGGAAGCGGATTCATCTGTGAGCAGCACAGTAGCTAAAAGCAGCTTCACCCTGTTTGGTTCTGACCCGGTTCTATGGACTGTGCCTGAAGGTCCCACCCAGGTTATGAGCCTATCAGAAGGATGCTGTGGTCCTCAGTATCAGCAGCTGCAGTGAGATGGAGCATCATCAGGACAGATGTTCTACCTGAATCTGTATGTAGACGAATGTCCGTTCATACTGTAGTCATGGCGTCTCGGTGCTGTGGTGTTGTCTACAGCCTGACTGGAGACTGTCCAGCAGCTCGTCTCTGAAAGCTGTTCAGCTGGATCACACCTGCTTTTTCTGTCATGTCCCCATGGAAGGAGACTGGAGATGGTCTGTAGTTACTCATCACCGAGCATCTAGTTTCCTTTTCTCCAGAAGAGGTTCAACAGCAGCAGTTTCCACTGATGTAGGGAAATACCCACGTTAAGGAGGAGTTAACAGTTTTCACCACGTCAGCTTTTAAGCAGCTGAAACATTTTAGAAGGAGTGAGTTGGCAGGTTGTCCAGACAGCAGGTGGGTGAGTTAACCTTAACTATGTTCTCCAGCGTCTCAGCGCTGATCACGCTGGAAGCTGCTGTTCTAGCCAGACTGCTGCTGTGGTCCGGCTGTGATGGATGGTCTGATGTTCATGGTCTTCTCATTGAAAAGGATGCTAACTCATTAGACTTAGTTAGGAAATGAAATCAGGGTTTAACTGTGTGGGAGACTAGTTAGCCTCTCACTAGTAGGTTCATATGACCACTGATGACTTTGGAGAAACAGGCTCGCCTTATCTGATCCAGAGTTGTGAGTGTGCAGCTGCACTCTGAGGTCTCCTAGTCTTCCTGAATAGATGCTCAGTTTTGCTGCGTTCTCTTTTCTGGTCTGTAGCTGACGTGGTGAACCTCCATGGAGCGTTTTGTTTGCTACAGATAAGTCTGGCCTTCTGGGGTGCAGCGGTGTCGAGGACTTCACCGGTTTTGCAGTAGAAGTGATTTAAAAGTGAATCGGCACAGCTGGTTGTCGGACTGATGCGGTGTGGTCACCCAGATACCTTTCTGAGAACAACTGAGGTGTGATGTCCAGCAGGTGGCACGGCCAGGTAGACCCACATCACAGGAGGGGAGGGCGTCTGCTGGTGGATCAGGGTCGCGTTGATCCTGGAAGTGAGCAGAGAAGAGAGGGGCGTCGTGAGGGCTTTGCTGTGCCATGACAGGACTGCTGCAGTGCGTTATCTTCTTGTTTTGGAACGTCTCGGTTAGCGCACACATGTACACTTCTGACATGATTACATCACTACTACACACCCTCACCCTCTGAAACACACACCTACCCTAACCCTGCCGATATGTTAAAAAGGACGCTGATTGTTCGTGCGTCCCTATTGTTCACATAATCGGTCCTTTAGTCACATCAGGAGGCTCAGCTTCACACTCGTGCACGTGCTTTTGTAGATGTGAGCTGCTGTTTGTGGTCCTACGACAGCTGTTGGGTTTCAGCTCTTAGTCCCCGTTACCCCGCAGCTCCAGTGGGTCGTCTTTGGCCTGGGCCGCACCTGGTCTACTTGCATGATGTAAACATGTAGCAGGAGGATCTGCAGCATGTAATGGTGTTACAGTCACCTATTAGGCTGTTAGTGTGAATGTGGCGCTTTAACTGCTTGGTAGGCTGCAGATCCTGTTGTCCTTTTGTCTTTCCTGGCTTCGGCTCCTCTTTTCCTGCCCTCCGCTGAGGTGAAAGTGAGTTTGCTTTGCCAGGTCAGCAGATCGGGGCGAGCCACTGCAGTAACTGCACATGAGCAGAGAGAGGAAGTGGGGGAGCAGACATATTTACAGAACCATGCTCAAAGAACGACAGACGCTGATTATTTGAAGTAACTGAGTAATAAAACTACATTACTGTCCTTTTTCTGTGCTGCTTGGTCTGCTTCAGCTTCTGAGAGGCGACCGACTCGATTCAGACGCAGTTAGAAGCTGCTAACGGTACATCTGTACGGGACAGTAGCTGTTCGAATTCCTGTTGGGTTTTACTCCTAGTTTGTCATTCACGGCACACTAAAGCCCCTTAGCAAACACATGTACTTATTGGCACAGTGTGTGTGTGTGTGTGTGTGTGTGTGTGTGTGTGTGTGTGTGTGTGTGTGTGTGTGTGTGTGTGTGTGTGTGTGTGTGTGTGTGTGTGTGTGTGTGTGTGTGTGTGTGATGGAGGATGGCTGCTTATACTGAGCCAGGATTCTCTGGAGGTTTCTTCCTGTTAAAAGGGAGTTTTCCTCTCCACTGTCGCTGCATGCTTGCTTAGTATGAGGATTGCTGTAAAGACTCTGACACTAGTCAGTGACTCGATGCAACCTGCTGTGTGCCTTTAGACGTCGTGATTTGGCGCTATTTAAATAAACTGAATTGAATTAAACTTTTTGAGTCATGAGGCGACGTTCTGGGCTCCTGTAGTTTGGACCCTGGTAATCTCAGTCAAAGGGCCCGCTCAGCCACCAGCGTGTGTGAGGAAACTGCAGGTTTGAACTGCCTCTATGAAATATTTTTAATAAATCATGTTGTTATTGCAACATCCCTGATGATGATGTAATCAAATCAGCACCAAATTCACGGTTTAGTTTTAAAATACCGACATGTTTATTTTATTTCTTTTCTTTAACCTTCATTTAACCAGATGAGTCGACTGAGACCCGATGCTCATTTCCAACGAGGATCTGGCCAAGAGGCAGCAGCAGCAGACCCACTTAGCTTTACACCAAACAACTGTTCTCATAAAAATGTACAAGCAATCAGAACAGACCTAAAACCATCTCTACCTAACCCTAACCCTCCACTCAGAAGCAGCAGCAGCAGCTCAGGAGGCCCAGCGGCTGTCCAGTAATCGGAAGGTTGCAGGTTTGATCCCGGCTCTGACCATAAAAAGCTTTTGATGTGTCCTTGGAGAAGATACTTAACCCCCCTTGCCAGGGTGTGAGTGTTTGAATGACTGATTGTGTTGTGAAGCGTCCTGGGGGGTTGCAGAAACCTCCGAAGGCGCTATACTAATAAGGCCGTTTACATTGATCAGAAACTATTGATTGAATCGATTATTGAAGGTTGAAATCTGCTTTCTTTTGAGTGTGTTTCTCATTTTTCTCTCTGTGAAACCCTACCGAGGAGGTTGTTGGTGCATTTCTTTATGCGTCAACTAGGGATGGACAGTATATCGGCATATCGGTATCGGCCAATGGTAGTCATTTTTTAACGAATCGGTTTGATAAATAAAACCGATATCAACTACCGATATTTTTTCCATCATGTATCTGTTTGTTTGCCTGTTTCAGAGGGTTGGGGGGGTGATGTGTATTTGTTTAGTCATGTGATCAGTGAGTGTGATCATCTCAGAACCGTAAATGTGTGTGTTGTGTGTACATAAAAACATAAATTGGACTTTAATTATTTTTATTCTATACTAAAGCTGCTGATTTTAGAAGCATTAATGTCAGCATATCGGTATGGCAAATATCAGTTATCGGCCATAACAGTGATCTTCATATCAGATATCGGTATCGGCCCAAACATTTCATATCGGTGCATCGCTAGAGTAAATCAAGACTGAATGATTGAGATCTAAAAGGAGGATTATGATGCAGATTGAGATCATGAATCATTGACTATCACTGAGTTGTTTACTTTGTTGTTCAGATCCAGGTGATCAAAATAAACACAGAAGACAACAGAGAGACGCGCTCTGCTAAGGATGCTCTGCTGCTCTGGTGCCAGATGAAGACCGCTGGGTGAGCTGGGAAACAAACGTACACAACTCTGGAAAATTTCTGGATTATTTGGAGTTGTGGCACGTTTCTGTAAAGGAAAAGTTATGAACCACAATTTTATGCTCCAGCTACCCTGAAGTCAACATCCAGAACTTCACCACCTGCTGGAGGGATGGCCTCGCCTTCAGTGCCCTCATACACAGACACAGGTGAGGCCCGGCAGCACACCTACCTGCTTTTGTGTTTATTTATGTATATCTGAATATTTTCACCAAGCCACCATAATTCGGGTCTGGATATGAAGCAAAACAGGAAGTACCAACAATTGCAGTTCCACCCTCATCCACTAGGGGCTGGTGTCAGAAGCGAGCAAATCCTCATTGACTCCCATGTTAAAAATACCAATTTCACAGCAGAAATAAACATGTTTACAGCCTGGTACCAGAACATGTTTTAGGTTTAAATGATCTAGTTTACACTCATGACAACTCTGAGGGGGGTGAATGTTTTTCTCACTCTTCTGTTTAAGTGTATTAAAAACCTAAAATTCTGTATAATTAATGAGCATCAGACCCACGTGACCGCAGAGCTAGCTCCGGGGAAAGGCCTCAGTAGAGCCTCGGTCTGGCCTGGAAACTGTTCCGGGATTTTGAGTCTCTCAACTTAGACCATTAGTTGTAGCGTTTGTGCGTCTTTTTGGATATTTTTTGTGCAATTATTGGACAAAATGACTTGCTGTGGCATTAATTGCACTAATAGAGCGTCCAAGGAGTCTCCACTTCATTTTTTTTGGTAAGTAAAATTATATTTATGTATTTTAGGTCACTGCCGAGCTGAGCTTAGATTTTAACATGTACTGTTTAACCATGACATTTAAATGTAATAGGGTAAAACCCAGTGCATTTAACATAATGCTGCACTTTAGAAAATGGGTTGAAATATAACATGTTGTTGGAGCTGGGTTCCCACTATCGGCTTGTGGAGCTCTCGGAGACCTCTGTGTTCCACCCGGTTCTCCCCAGCGGTCAGCCCGGCGTATCTCTGACTCAGAAGCTCTGGTGTTGTGCACAGTTAACTCCGGTTGTAGCTAGGTTGCTACCTCCGTTAGCTTAGCTCCCACCTCCGCATTAGCTTTGGGTTAGCTTGTAGCTACATTAGCTTCAGTTTGACAGGTGTCGTCAGTTGATCCCAGCCTTACAGCCCCACCCTCAGCTCCACCTCTTTTCCCTTTTGTGGAATTGTCTGGGCGTGACGGAACCTGTGACACGGTCAAAATGGCGGTGGTGGCCACCTCCCATTTTGGCACAAAAACTTATAATTGGAGTCTATGGAAACCCATTGTCCAGTATATATGTCGATGATTTTCACAGACACTTTTTTCTTTCTTTTCAGTACTTTCACTTCATCTGGTCTACATTTTGCAGAACTTTGACACGTTTCATGACTTTGTACTTTCCAGACCTGATCTAATAGAGTTCCACAAGCTGACCCGGTCCAATGCAACCCACAACCTTCAGCAAGCCTTTACCGTTGCAGAGCAGCACCTGGGTCTCACCAAACTCTTAGACCCCGAGGGTGAGCGCCCCTTCAAACCTCCAACCATCTTTATCATAGCAGCAGAACGGAGTTTAGATGAATGATGTGACTTTTTGATGGGATCCAGATGTGAACACAGAGAACCCAGATGAGAAGTCCATCATCACGTATGTGGTCTCCTACTACCACTACTTCTCCAAGATGAAGGCTCTGATTGTGGAGGGGAAGAGAGTTGGCAAGGTAACGAGTGAATCTGGTTTCCTCCACGGGAGTTTCTGACATCTGAAGTGTTCAGTATTTATTACATTGCTGTAAGGGTAAGACTGCAGCCATAAACGGTATAAATACATGTGGCTTAAAAACAATTAAAATATTTAAGTGTATTCAAAACTATTTGCTTTATTAGTTTTGCTCTTTTTCAAGAAATTTTTATTCAAAATGTTTTTATTTGGATTTAAAACCAGTGAGGAAAAAAAGCTAAATTAAAAAAACGCTAAACAAATACATGATGATCAGTGTTGGGAGTAACGCCGTTTAAATATAACGGCGTTACTAACGGCGTTCTTTTATAGGTAACGGAATAATCTAATTAATTACTTTTCCCGCCGTTGCAACGCCGTTACCGTTACTGGGGACGGAAGGTTGTGCGTTACTATGTGCTTGTCGAACGTTGAGCAACAGTGTGAGGCTTTCTGACCGCCACACTTCAGCTGCAGCCAGGGAGAGAGAGGTGTCGGTAACACACTTACAAACACGATGATGATTGGCCGGGTGGGCGGAGACCCTCACGGTCTCAGTCACTGCCTGCTGTAGACACAACAGAGCAGTGATGGGAATAACGCCGTTTAAAATAACCGCGTTAAAAAAAATATTTCTTTCAGTAACGAGCAAATTAATTACCGTCTTCTTTTATCAAAACGTGGTTTCTGTTACTGATAAGGAAATGCGTGCGTTAAGCAGCGCGGTGTGTTGAAGCTGTCATCAGCTGATCAGGAGCTAAAGAGGCAGATGTTTTCATCCAAGAGCATCTCAGCCGTGAAGAACGAGGAAGACGTGATGAATATCTACGGCTGCAGGTGTGGATCTGCAGCCGTGTCCTTCTTAGCGTGACAGCGGGACGTCCCGAAGGTCCGCTCACCTGTCCACCGCTCAGACGTCCTGATCTTCTACCTTCCTAGATCATCCAGCTGTAACCTGTTCCTGATCATGTCTTTAGTCCCGCTGTAACACTGATGCATCAGTCTCAAACATCATGGAGCTCAGGTGTTATTAGAACTACCTGTGTGTGTTTACCACCCAGCTTCAGCTCTTCTGTGGTTGGGTCTGACCCACGTTAGTAAATGTAAGTCCTCCATCAGGCTCGTGCCTCTTCTAGTGTCATTTTAAACGTTTTATTTATTTATTTATTTAACCGTTACTAGATTAGCAGCAACAGAAATGCTAGTAAAAACACACAATTATGTGAAGCTGGAAAAATTAGAATACTGTGCAAAATTACATTTATTTCTGTAATTTAACTAGACTGAGAGACCATTTAAAGGCTCGGGAACCTTTACAGGTGTTTCTATTTGCAATTTTAAATGTTAGCTGATTGGGGTCTTGTTAAATATCACACAGTGACCTTTTAATAGTCTAGATAATTGTAATGTTCCTGTTAGTAGTTCCTCCTGTTAAGTGCTTATTTATTTAAATTATTCAGGTTTATAAAAAACATTTGGACATTTTATTATGTTCCAGTCATTTATATTTCACTATTGTAGTCATTCTTGCATGCTTTAATGAAAAAAGTAACTAAGTAGTTATTTTTGTTGGTAATTAGTTACTTTTATAATCTCATAACTCGGTTAGTAACTGAGTTACTTTTTTGACAAAGTAATTAGTAACTATAACTAATTACTTTTTTAAAGTAACTTTCCCAACACTGATGACAATATAAAAATATTTAATTTATTATTAATGTCATTCATCATCATCATCATCATCATCATCATCATCATTATTATTATTATTATTGTTGTTGTTGTTGATACTTGGCATGGAAATGTACACTTTTCTATATTTTGACTTAAATTTCTGATGCTAACGGGTCACTCTGAGTGTTTGATGCAGGCTGAACATGAGAATAGTCTCCTACACCTATCTCCTGCAGTAGCTTCTGATAGAAAACAGACGGTGAAACTCTAGGATAGAAAATCCTGACAGATCTATGTCACCCTGTCACTAACATTCATGCACTCACCCATCTGGACTCACGACGGGGACGGCTGTTGTTGGTTTAGCGTCCAGGAAACAGCAGAGAACGTCTCAGCTAGTAGAAGCTAACCGTTGGCATTAGCAACTCCACCACTCAGCAGACTCCTCCAGGCTTGTGTTATTGGTGGAGATAAAACATCAACGTTGCAGAGCAGACAGAGTCAGTGTTGCTGTTAGCCAATCAGAGGAGAGATGCCCACATATCAGGAAGTAAGACTCCAGGGGTGTTTCTCAATTGCCCTGTTTCCATTAGCAGAACTCCAGGGTAGTTCCTGGGATGGGGAACTTGACCAGGAGATAGGACATCCCAGTCCTGTCAGCTGTTGCGTCTCCTTTCTAATCCCACCCTTCCAGAACTTGCAGACGTCAGTGAGTGATGTCACTGATCAGCCCCCAAAAGTGCCCAAAGTAACATTAATTATATTAAAAGCATTTATTCTATAAAAGTCTATCATAATTTAATCCATCAGAGGACAAGAGCAGCCCCGGGGGAATTCCCGTTTTTCCCGGTGTCGGGAGTTAGATTTGTGATCTGTGCTTATTTTCTTTTGCTTCCATTCTGCCTCACCAGCCACTCGTCTAATTTTACTGCTGCCGGTTGTTTTGGACGTCTGCTGATGTCATTTCCTACCGAGTTACAGCCAATCAGTGCGAGTTAAGCGGAGGTTCCACTCAGCTGCTCCACCAGCCGTTCGGCGCACCTCCAGAGCGGTCGTGGTTCTCCGTGCCAAGGCGCCCGGCCGTGTGAGGCGATGCCTGGCGAGGCCAGGCGCCTTGCTTACGAGGACACGGTCCTTCCTTGGTCAAAGAAAACGGTTAAATGGAACAGACTTGCATCACGTGACCGCGGCTTCCACGGTGATCACGTAACGTCACGTGACACGGGAGACAACGTTATATTTTACAAGTATAAGTTTCAATATAAGTATATAACGAGCCTTTTTCTTTTTAAGTTGTATATGTTTGTTACAGGAAGTATGTTAGCGAGTTACTACCGCTAGCCGCTGAAGCTGCTGCTACTAAGCTACTAACCAACCACAGACATAAAAAACGTGCCAGACATCCGCCCGATAGCTACAGTTATGGGCCATTCCCATCTGTACCGGGTCGGCCCAGTCGGCCCCAGCCTGGCCCGGTTGATTCCACACATCCTTGCCTTCAGCCCATGTGGTCTGATTCTACCCACCAATCAGAGGCTTGCTCTAATGGAAGGTGTGAGTTTGCTGTCAGCAGTGGGTGTGTTGGCCCTGGTCGGCCTGAAGCAGACCCCCTCGAGAAGAGGGCTGAGAATGAGCCTTGGTTGGCCCGGAAAAATACCAGGCCACCCAGATATGTAAACAACCTACGCTACCCGGCCCGGGCCGACCCGGTACAGATGGGAATGGCCCAATAGTTCACTTACATTTAAACTGGAGTAGCTGGCTCCTGATCCGCCGTCCTTTTGAAAATACTGCGGTGTATTCTGGGTAATTTTTGACCAAGGCTAGGCTGTAGCCGTGTATCCTTGCTCAGCTAGCTAAACAGCTATTGGAACACGTCTTGGCGGCTCCCGATGACGTATCTCCGAGGCAACCTGGGCGGGGCCAAGACATCAAGGCGAGGTTCCTTGGCGTTGATCCAGATCCTGTGGTCTAAAGCTCGGCTCTGATGTGGGAAACCTTTAGGTCAGAGAAGTGGTGCACCGGAGACCGCTGCAGATTAAAATGTTCCCCTCCTTTAAATGACACAGGTGCCATTTTTATTAATGAGGACTTCATGACTGATTTGCTGACTGTGACTCTTATTTATTAAAACGTTGTTTTAATGGTGTTCTTTTCTTTCCATACAACACGTGTAAGTGGTTTTACCCTCCTCTCAGGTGCTGGACAACTGTGTGGAAGCAGAGAAGATCATCAACCGCTACGAGGCTCTGGCCTCGGACCTGCTGGACTGGATAGAGAAGACCATCGCCATCATCAGCAACCAGAAGTTTGCCAACTCGCTGACGGGAGTTCAGCAGCAGCTGCAGGCCTTCACCACCTACTGCACTATAGAGAAGCCCATCAAGTGCGTTCATTTTTCACTGTTTTATGTCACAGTGGGTTCGTTAACGTCCCAGGATCATCGTTTACTGGTCTCTGTTAAAAACACTTCTGTTGTCAGCAGTAGACATGCATGACTGCTGGTGAATCCAGAATATGATGATCCTCATAAGGTCAGACAAAAGGAAGCTGGACGTGAAGCTTCTCATCCAAGGAACATTCCTAAAGGGGCCAGATCATGGAAAATCCACTTTTTGGAGCTTTTTACCTTCATGTGGTGATGTCACTTCCTCATGAGAAATCCCCCAAACCCTGTTGCGGCTGCACTCATGAGTTTTCCTTCCTCAGCTTCAGTTTGGTCCATGAAAACTTTTCCTGCATCCAGGAGAAAGTAGCCCGCTTGTGTCACCAGGCATTTCTCCTCCCCTGAAGCTGGTCTGGTCTCGGTTCTGAAGCCTGGATCTTCTGACTGATGACCTCTGCATCGGGACAAACCAGCCGTAAAACCCGAGTCCCGTCTACAAGGACGGCCGGCTCCGGATGTGTGTGCTAGGCGACTGGCTGGTGGTTGGAGTGCTGGGTCAGCGTAGTTTGGCACAGGCTCGCCTCTCGGTCGCAGCGCTCACCTTTTCTCTCCCGCTCAGCTGCACTTGCCAGTTTGATGTTTCCAACCTTTTACTGGTGAAAGATCTGAGGACTAGTCTGGTTATTTAGCCAGTGTGAGTCCATGTGAGGGGAGCAGAGTAAATCAACTACACGCTGCTTGGAAACGACCTAATTCAAAGACGTTTAGCGACACTAAATATTTAGCAGAAAGTGGTGAATTAAAGCTAAGATATAAAAGCACGAAACCTGCTTCAGCTGGCTGAGTACCTCACTGCAGACGTCGGCATCAGAGCATGACCAAACCAGATGAAAGGCAGGCGCTTAACCGCTGCACTAGCAAGGACGATAAAACGGCGTCCTTGCCTAGGACTCTGCTGTAGGTGCTTTTGTCACAGGTGGGGTAGGCGGAGCTTTGCTAAAACAAACAGTTTCATTTCCAGGTAAAAACTCATGCTGACAAAACGACTGATGTTTAAGATAAATGACGTCTCAGTAGTGCCAGCGGTGATATTTGATCATATGTTGTGTTTACCTGGAACCTGTAATCCCAGTGGAAAAGGGCAGAGCACATGTGAGATGGATCAGAACCACAACTCCTTCTCCAGTAAGTTCCCTCCTGCTGCCAAACGTCTCCGTCCAAAACGTGAAGCGTGTCCTCAAAAGGGTTCTTTACCTTTAAGGGAGCACACCTTCTCACCCGTGACTCCTGGGGTGCTGGTACGCTTTAAAAGCGTGGTACCACTCCGGTTCTGTTGGAGCTGAGACATGGACTCGGGAATAAAAACAGCTTTCTGAACCTCCTTGGTTCACCTGAAGTTTTCTGATTTTTCTGTCCAGGTTTCAGGAGAAGGGGAACCTGGAAGTCCTCCTCTTCACCATCCAAAGTAAACT